TTTATAAAAAAAATTATAATTTTATAATTATATTAAGATTGAAGACGAAAGATAAAAAAAATTATACTGAAACATTTCCCTGAGCAGTTTATTAGCTTGAATACACACCTCTGTTTCACAATCTGCAATGAAACAGAGATATGTATTCAAGCGAATTAACTGGCCATGAGATTAAATTATAGCCAAACTAAACTTGTTAATTATGGCTGGGGGGGGAAGCTATTTATAAAGGAGTAAACACCTTAAGTTTTATCATTGCTTCGATGTGGGACTCCAACTTCTCTTGATAAATAGCTCAAACGCAGAAGTAGAGTCCATTTACAACTCACCTTGTTGCTCATACAGAGAGTGTAAGGGCAGATTAAACAATTGAGCTAAAGGAGTCCTATTTGTACAAGGATTAATACATGATATGTACGGTTAAAGTTGGGATTCATACATCATTTTGATCTGTTGGTTTTGTATTAATCTAAAATGTAATCACAGCTGTAAAGCTATACAGAATAGTAAAAGACCATGTGCAGAGCTACTTGATGAGGAATAAACACAAGGATATCATATTTTATGTGTTAATAAGTGCAGGACATGGAGATAAGACTCGTGCTCGAGAATACTTTGACAGATTTCTTTAATGGGAAGAAATCTCTGAAGAACACACCACTTCAGTTATAAATATGATAGGTGCCTGCTCTATCAATCGAACTGCAGAATCCACCCCCTCTAGCCCCATTGATTGTACTGCATAAGGAGATCGTAGAGTTGCAGAAGCATCTGTCATTGAAGCAAGCATCCCTTCATCATGTAAGTGATCAAGAGGTATTGTGAGTTTCCTAAAGACTATATCTGATTTATTTTTCAGTCTTACATGATTTTCTATAGCAAGGGTCTTTGAGATTCATTTTCTATATCAAATTTCCATGTGTATGCATTTGTGTGTATGGACTATGTATGGATGTACAGATTCAGAGCAAAGCTATGAAATTTCTAGGTTTTGTGTTTTAGTTTCAGTAAATCATTTGAGTCTTTGATCTAGGTGTATTTCATGTGTTGAAAGTAAAATATAAAACGTTAATATTAGGATACTGGAGAGCTTAATCACCTCTTTCCACTATTGGTATGAGCTCATTGGTTATCTGTTTATAAATAATCAAGTAGTAAGATCACAGTCCTTCAGCCTTTTAAAATATGTGGTCGTTCTCCTCAGTCGAAAATGAGGTCCATGGTTTGACTAATTATAGGTGGTAGTTGGTGGTGTTGAGGTTTGTGACAGATATAAGAGAACAGAATGAGATTGTTGTGACTATAGGAAAACATATAAAAGAAAATTTGACACCTTTTTATTTTTGTTTGATAATGAAAATAAAAAGGCAGTTTCTAGAGTTCAAAGTTATAATAACCCCATGATTGTGGATTTTTGTCTACTATGTGGCTCTCTAATGCTCTACTGCCTTCTCTGTGCAGCTTGTTTTTCCCTCCAATTTGGTATCTTTTCTGTATCTTAATGTATTGACAATAGCGTTAGTAGGTATCATTTGTATCTTAATGTGTTGACAAAAATGTTAGTAGATATCATTTCTGTATCTTAATGTGTTGACAATAGTGTTAGTAGATATCATTTTTGTGTCTTAATGTGTTAATGATAGTGTGAGTAGTGTGGATATGGGTATCAGGTCTGTATCTTCATGTTTTCGTAATAGTTTTGGTATATCTTATGTAAACTTTGTATGTTGCAGGTATAAATTGGAATCTGGGTTTGAACTATGTTTCATAGAGGCGAGTACAGTCCTGTAATCAAGCAATTTCTATAGATAAACGTTAGGATTAAAATTCACAATAAAATATGAATTTTACAAATAATAGAGAAATGGCACAAGTCATAATTGCAATGCTGCATCATTACTTGTTTGCCACCAAAATATCTTTCGTAAACACTTCAAAAGGATTCACTAGAGCTTCCACATATCTTCATTTATTATTCACTAAAGCTTCATAATATTATTTTTATTTTTTGACTAAGAAGTCTTCATTAGCACTTTTATGAATGTTTTAAGCTGAACTCAAAAGATGTAGAAAGTTTCACATTGAGTTTGTAGAATTTTTTTGGGTGTGTATTTTTCTGCTATTTAATGAAATACTATGGTTTTTGGAAGAGTGCATCATCAATGCTTCTAACAAGCATCATTTTGCGTAGGGTAAAGTAGGTTTAGGCTTGCATACTTGATTTAGGCAAATTTGTCAGGGTGGTTAGCTTGCCCCATTGCAGCTAAGTTCGAGTCCTTTTTTTTTCGAAGTTAGATTAATTTAGAATAGTTTAGATTGTTGGTTATATTTTTTAAAAAAATTGAAAAAAATGATGGAACAATACGGCAAAGCTGATCCGTGAGAATGTTATAAACTCTTGTATTTTGGTATACAATAAAACTCAGCACCCGAGTTCGATTCACGTAAAAGACGATTTTGAGGTCACCCAATACAATATTTCCCCCTCCCCCTCCCCCTCCCTAGCAATGACAAAAAAAATCATGTTAAAGTTTGCTCTAGATAAAATGAAAATGTTAGTCGAATGATAATTTGTTCAAAGCTTCTTTGACTGTGGAGACCGTTTGTGAACAGAGTTAAATGTGCTTTCTTCATGAACAAAGTTCTTGAAGAAAGTATTTTTCAGTGGTTTTGGTAATTGCTCCAAAACATTTTCCTTATCTTAATGAACAATTTTAGGTACTAATCAAACAAGTTTAAATTTTCATCGCTTTTTTCAAATTGGCATATTAAATGCTGGAATAATACTACGGCAGAGCTGATCCGTGAGTACGTTATAAGAACTATACATTCCTGAACGAAATTCAATTGCACAATCCAATTTGTCACACAGAAATCAGAATCGCTCAACGTTAGCAGACGGAACTTGTACAAACACAAATTTTAAAAAACCATTAATAAGAAACCCTATTTTATACTTCTGTATGAAAACACCAGTTAGAACAACTCACATAGATACAAGCAGAAGAAGCTAAGAACAAGAAGCCATGAAAAAATTAAAAAATTAAAAAATTAAAAAAAATTAAAAAAAATCTGAGTTACAATGACAAGCAGCTGAAACGCAGGCATTAGAGCGAATCCCGTAGGTACAAGACTGATGACAATGTTAACTCTCATATACAAAGGGTACGGCAGTATTATCATCTCTTGCCAGAGAGACTGATTGAGCTGACTTTCATGGGGGTTGCCACCACTAGTGGAGCTTCCGGGGAGTCTGTAACAGCATAGTTGTCGTGCATGAAACGACTCTCCACGATGGACTCGTCCTTCAACAGAATCTTGTAACAATAACAACTCTTAAGACCTTGCTGGTTCCTGTAGCATTCATGGGCACTGTTCTTCACCTGCTGAAAGTCCCATACCACGCTGAACTTTCCCACTGTTGCGACTCGGTGACGCTCTTGTTTACCATTTTCAGTGACCTGTAAACAGACATAACAAGTTTTCAGCACAATGAATTTCTCAATAAAGAAAGCTAATGAATGCATCTTCTATTTTCCAAATCATGGCAGAACTGTTTAGTACTTGTTCATTTTATTATTACAAAAAATGAATTTTCATCTTTACTTGTATATTTTCGATTTTGATGATTCTCCCCTTCTAATTATATTTGGAAGAGATAAGTAAATGATAGTTTTCTATTCCATTCTATCAGTTTTATAAAGCTATAAACTCTAAAAATACCAGAGAGTTTTCTATGGAACACTTGTTTGCTACGGGTCTATGCCTAGGAGAACAAATACAGGGCAACGAGAGAAGAAACATAAAATCCAGCCTATATCAATGAAAATGCAGAACTTACGTAGCATTCCTCAAAACTTCACATTTTAATGCAAGTGTGAAAGTTAATGAATGCACTTCAATGCTAGTTCAATGCTTGATCTCATTTTCGAAAGAGATTGAACCACAATTTTAAATTTGATAAGCTAGCACACAGTGTATTACCGTTCACCAAAACAATTCCTCTGCATTAATCAATTAAACAAACTAAATTGAATGATTTACATCTCACACCTATATCTAATGAAACAAGTCTTGCCAAACTGCTATTGGGGAACAAGAAAATCCACAGCAACCCTATGCTACTGCAGCAGAACCTGTAGTTCTAAAGCTCTATTCATGGGTGTAATAAATAGACCGTAGCACAGCAACTAGTTCATCCTATATTCTTGGTTTCAACACAAATACTACAACATTGCACACATAAATGTCATAATAAACTCCATTATTTTAGACCTTGTTCACAAGACTTTCTCTAATGGTCAACTTATATACAAGATAGCAAACTA